ATAGGAATAGTCATTTTAATTTTTTTGAAACTTTTTTTTTTAATTACAATTTAGAATTTGTTCTTTTTGAGAGATTCACCCTGTAACGAAATTCGTTATAACAAGAATCGAGTGTATGTAATTTAGTTAGTAGGGGAGAGTAGGCTACATTGAACCAGCGTCAACAGTGAACCACTTCAATTTTCTGAGAAATGACTGAGTGAAATTTTTTCTTATTTAATATATAAGTTAGTTTTACTGAAACAAACTATGTCCAAAAATTACGGGCACGTAGGTTTATTATTTATAAAGAAAAACTAAAAAAACTGTTTTTCACTTACAAAACAAAAAATTTTGTGGAAATATAATCAAGTTTTTTTTTAAATAGGAAGTTTTAAAAATTAGTAAACTTGTGATTTATTTCGCTTAGGGTGTCAACTTCAATATTCCGATGTGATAAAGAATTTCAAATCTTACATAAATTTATTATAAACAATTTTTGTTGTGAATGTCATGTGAATACAGGGAGTGCAGCATCATTAAACCACCCGAAAAAGCAAAGAATTTTTAATTTTAAGAGCTTTAAAGTTGTCTGCTCTACAAATTAGTAAGAAAAATACTGGAAGACATGCTTTCATCACAATTGTGAACGAGATAAACTCAAACTGTCACTTTACCTACCTAACCTGACATCAAAATATATTAATCTCCTATATTAACAAATAATAACTCTTTAACAACAATTTTCTATTTTTTTGACTGAAAAATAAGATTTTTTACAATGTGTAAGTGGAAATATTATTTTTGAAGTAAATTGTAGTGTTTTATTAGAGGTGGTTCAATGTAGACACAGATCCTTCAAAATAAGAAAAGTGTAACTTGTTAAAAAAAATTAAATTTTATTATTTAATCATAATAATTTGTGTTTGTAACGTGTGTATTAACTGAAGGAGTACTTCAGCTTAATTTTGATACAAAAACCTGATCAAAATTTGTAAAATTTAATTAGTTCTTGGACTTTATAAAATACCCGGTTCAATGTAGCCTACCCTCCCCTATAGGGCAGTTCCATACGAAAAGCAAATGGTGGATCACCGATTTTTCTTAAAGTTTGTAACTTTTTAGTACTTGGGGTACTAAATAACTGTGCCAAACAGTTTTGAAAAAAAAATTTTTTTTGCAAGATATTTAGATTTGAAAAATCGGAAACTGAAAAAAATGACTTTTTTGAGAATTTTTATTTCGAAAACTATTGATTCTACAAGAAAAGTCATTTATTCAAAATTGTAGAGAAAATGTCAATTTTTTATATAATATTAAAAAAAAGTTAAGAAAAATTAATTTTTTAATAATTTGTTTAAACAATAATTTTTTATTGTTAAAAAAAGAGCAAAGGACATCATGGAATTTTCTAGAAAAATTATTTTTTCAAAATTTGAACCTTCCTTAATAAGTGGTTAAATTTTTAAAGAAGTGATTTTTGATATTTTTGAGAAAAAAATTTTTGAAGTTTGCGCTACGAGTTTTTGTGCGTTGCGCTAACTAAGCAGCCCCTATGTCAGTGTATTTTTAAAGATGATTTGACCTTTACTGCTCGCCCCTAATACATTTATTAATTATATACGTATATATTATTATTATAAACAGTTTAACAATATATTTTTAACTTTTTTATAAACATTATTTTCCTTTTTTAACCCATTAATGGTCATAGGCACAGGAACGCATAATATAAAAAGTAACTATTGGGATCCTGGCATAGGATCATAATAATAATTTTTGACGTTAAAAATTAAAAGAAAAATTTTAAACAATTTGTTATAAACAATTAAAAAAAAATTGATTTTCATAAAAAAAACTGATAGCGCCATTCGATTCGACGCAAAAAACTACTACGAGATCGTATATTACATAATTTAAAAAAAAGACATACTGTTGTAAAAATGTTATAAACAATTAGCCTGCATTTATACTGTATGAGGTAGAAGGATCGTTTTTGAAGTTAAAAATTTTTTTAAACAAAACTAGTTTAATTAGGAGAGTTTTTGACGTTAAAAATTTTTTAAACAAAATTTTTACCTATAAAACGATTCTTCTACCTCATACAGTATAAATGCAGGCTAATTGTTTATAACATTTTTACAATAATATGTCTTTTTTAAAAATTACCTATGTAATATACGTTCTCGTAGTAGTTTTTGCGTCGAATCGAATGGCGCTATCAGTTTTTTATGAAAATCAATTTTTCTTCGTTTGTTTAGGGTAACGGGTACAGTGACCGACACACCCATTCAGTGAACGACACCCCCAATTAGAAATCGCAATAAATATAAAACAAAACATTGTTAATGAATATTTTAAAATATTAATATTATAAAATACAATAAATGGAAGCTATTAAAGTAGTAGCAATATTTAATTTATTTTTATTTTTAACAGCATTTTACTTTCTGTGAAGATAACCTCAAAAAGTGAATTTTGAGGTTATCTCCATAGAACTTGAAATTTTATCCAAAATATAAACGAAATTAATATTGCTGATATTTTAATAGCTTCCAAAAATTGCATTTTATAATATTAACATTTTTCAAATATACATTAATAATGTTTTGTTTTATATTTATTGCAATTTGTACATGATTTTTAATTGGGGGTGTCGTTCACTGAATGGGTGTCGGTCACTGTACCCGTTACCCTATAACAAATTGTTCAAAAAGATTTTTTTTTAATTTTTAACGTTAAAAATTATTATTAGACCATATGCCAGGATCCCAATAGTTACTTTTTAAACCTGCGTTCCTGTGCCCATGACCATTAATGGGTTAGAAAAGGAAAATAATGTTTTAAAAAAAGTTAAAAATATATTGTTAAACTGTTTATAATAATAATATATACGTGTATAATTAATAAATGTATTAGGGGCGAGCAGTAAAGGTCAAATCATCTTTAAAAATACACTGACATAGGCGCTGCTTAGTTAGCGCAACGCACAAAAACTCGTAGCGCAAACTTCAAAAATTTTTTTCTCAAAAATTTCAAAAATCACTTCTTTAAAAATTTAACCACTTATTAAGGAAGGTTCAAATTTTGAGAAAATAATTTTTCTAGAAAATTCCATGATGTCCTTTGCTCTTTTTTTAACAATAAAAAATTATTGTTTAAACAAATTATTGAAAAATTAATTTTTCTTAACTTTTTTTTAATATTATAAAAAATTGACATTTTCTCTACAATTTTGAATAAATGACTTTTTCTTGTAGAATCAATAGTTTTTGAAATAAAAATTCTCAAAAGAAGTCATTTTTTTCAGTTTCCGATTTTTCAAATCTAAATATCTTGCAAAAAAAATTTTTTTTTGCAAAACTGTTTGGCACAGTTATTTAGTACCCCAAGTACTACAAAGTTACAAACTTTAAGAAAAATCGGTGATCCACCATTTGCTTTTCGTATGGAACTGCCCTATAGTTAAATAATAATATCAATAAGAAATCGTCAACAAATTAGACATAGGTACCCGGGTGCCTCGTCCGTCCATAGAATGTTTTTTTCTCAGTCCCATAAAGGTTAACAAACATATAAACACCGCTATGTTATAATCATAAAGTGGACTTTTGTCCGGTTTTGGATGCGAACTGACCCTCTGTGCAAAGCTTAGCTTAGCTTGCTGAAAGCTCTCGTGATATCTGGGTTAATATAATAAAATTGTTTTCAGCAAGCTTGGCGTAACCTTACCACAATATTGCATCAAGCTTACAAGAAATTGTTATTACAAGTTTTCATGCTATTTGGTAATTAGTTTAATAGTTTTAACCCTTAAACCGCACACTGCCGAATCCATCCTTAAACCGCACACTGGGTGTGTGACACCCTGGGACTTTTAAGTGTGTTCTCTAAGCTGGAATAGGATATTATCTTTTGGAAAAATTATCTTATATAGCTCAGTACATCTATTTTGAAGGAAAATAGGTTTCATAATGATTTATTTAATTTTAATAATTAAAAAAGAGTTTTTTAAAACTACTGAAATTACCTTAAACCAAAAACTGGGTGTCAGACAAGCAGAAATTTTTCGCCGACAACTTCATAAAGTTATCAAATACACAAAGACACTTGGCAGACTAATGTCACTCACGAAACATAAATTTAAGTACAAAATGTACCATCCAATATCAACACATGTTCAATTTTTACGAATTTAACAGAAATATTAGAGTAAAAAGCTAGAATATGGGTGTCGCACACTCAGGGTGCGGTTTAAGGGTTAATAAACCCTATAGAACAATCACAAGTGGAAAAAATTGTAATTCTTAGTTGCACTTTTAAAGCTTTATCAATTAAGAATATATCCTTAAGTGCCGTTCTGCTGTATGCTTTACCCTGTATAATGCGAAAACCTAAATGGCAGTTATAGCCTTCAAATGCGAGTGAGGGATATTGTGTGCGACTAATGAATATTTTCTTACGGTAATTATGAACCAGCTAAAAATAGAATGATATTTAAAAGATTATTTTAACTTTGTGTTCAATACAAATTTCTTCATAAACAAAAAATATTTTTAAAATCAATCATCTTCAGTTACAGTTAATTAGGTACAAATAACAAAATATTTTATCTATTTAACGAATATTTTTTAAAAAATTACTGTGAATACAAAAATCAATGATGAACAAAATTGGTTAAAATTATAATTGATGAGCGCAGTGTCTACTTTCAATTCAAAGAGTAAGTCAGCACCTATTTGAATCTAATTAGAAGTAAAAAACTTGATCTACTTGAAATATGTTGAAAACTAAGACGACCATCGTAAATCTTTTGGTAACGAATAACGAGATCGAGGCTCAGGCTAAATAGATCGATCAGTAAATAGATCGAGCCTACTCTCCGGCCGAAGCGGGGTGGGTGGATATTTGTAGCTAAAGTACTGATTGCTGTTGGCAAAGTTTATCGTGACACCGTTTCATAAAGCCCAGAGTGCAGCGCTGCAGTGTGCCCTGCAAGAAACCTATCTTCAGTGCATTTTAATCCGTCTTGTTTGGTGTTCCGTCGCCGTCTATTTGCAGTGAGCAACTTTCGTTAAAATCCCTCGTGTTGGTTTCTTCGCAATGTTAATATCATACCCATGCATCATTCGTCTCAAATATTTCATCAGCAAAATTGTGACGGAAGAAAAATTTTATCTTTTTCCAATTGTTATTTGTATTAGATCAAAATTTTGTTAATCTTTGTGACAAGTTTTTACAAAACTATGGAGATGTAGAATTCTCAGTTTTTAATATTATGTATTTTCATTTTTGAGGAAAAAGATATAATTTTTTTAACAAGAAAAGCTTAAACTTTTATATGTAGCTAGACATAAAAACATATTCCTCCAGGTTTCCACAGTTTGTGTATGAGTTTACTGTGCTGGCAAATTTTTAGCATTCATAGCATAATTTATTCATTGATGTTTAAGATAATTCACTAACACAGCAAAAAATTCTTCCTTGTTTATGGAATTTATATTTTCGTAAAAGAGATTTAATTAAAGATTTCTTTCAGTGAAATTATTTATCAGTGCGAAATCATTTTTTTGATTATATAAGTCACTGTGTATTTCTGTTAAAAGAATAATTTTGTTCTCCATTTGAGAAGTGCAACTTTTGAACTCTTCATTTATGGACGACAATAATTTCATGATTATCATGAAGAAATTTTTTCACTTGGTTTCTGGACGGTAATGTGTTTTGACATAAAAAAGGAATGCTAATGAAAAAGAAAAAGTAATAAAATAATGTTTTGCATCATTTTAAAACTTTAAAGCTTTAGAAAAATTATTTAGTTAACTAAAATTTTTCCGCCTTCAGTAGGAATAACTGACACCTTCTTAAAGTTGAAATTCATTAACTTTATACTAACATATTCTTTATTCAGGCTTAATTATATAAATTTGAATGAAAATTATAAACAAAAAAGTTAAACTTTTTTAAATAATAACAAATGTTGGCTTTTGTTTGCTGCGTTTTGCTTCATTTTCTGCTAGCAACTGTTGATTCTTCATTGAGATGGTATTGTTAACCAAATAAAACTTTTCATTTGTTTGAATTTAAAGATAGATTTGCCACAAAATATTTTAAGATTTTTAAAATACTTTCATGTAATATAAATATATTTAAACTATAAAATATTAATATAATTAAACTCAAATAATTTTATTTGCGTCCTCTATGACTATAACTGATAAAATATTAGCAAGAATTTCTTAACTTTTTCGCTTATTACAATGACAGTTGATAGAATGGTATTTAGGGGCAGAAAATTGTAATTTTCAAATATTGCTGTTGAAATAAAATTTTGTGATTATTGTGAAAAAGGAGACTTGGTCGATTTTGGGATCTGGTTTTATAACTATTCGATTGCTTTGCTTAAGAACAGCGTGTGGTTTTAGATGTAGAATAACATGGCAACCAATATTAAGTTCACAAAGTTCGACAACAGGCCATGGGGCTTTCGACTGGCGGGTGGTAGTGATTTTCCGCAGCCGTTGACTGTCATCCGAGTAGGTATTTAACCTTGTCATTGATCGTTTCAATTAATTATAATCAGTAATACATATTTTTCAAACTAATGGATACTTATATATATTTTCTTAAAATAGTTAAAAAAATTTAAAGGGTTAATATTCGAAGTAATAATCGCTATACCAACAATTTATAAACTTTAAAAAAATCTTAGAACATAGAATACATTTACAATCATAAACAGTATAAAAATGTTTGATTATAGTAATAAATACTTAGAGTTTAAATTTTCAGTATCTGTCAAACTTCAGGCATAAAGCATTAGAAAATATACAGTTAACTTTTATAACTATTTAAAATTAACATTATTTAAAAGAAAAAATAATTAAAACATTTTTATTACATAGTTAAGGTATTTTTCCTCAAACGTCCACATAGAAAATTTAAAGTTTTTGGATTAGCTTGTACCTTTGATAAAGTTGTTCTAAATTAATGTTATTATCTGCTATAATTTCTAAAATTTCTAAATTATCTTTAAAAATCGTTTTTAAAAGAAGGGACTGTTTATTATAGTGTTTGAGGAAGAATGTCTGACATGTAGGATTGGAAGGTTAATGAATTTAATAAACAAATGAGTAACTACAATAATTCAATTCAATAATCAATTTAATTGAACTGCTATTTGAAGAAATTTATTTTTATAAGCTATAAATTTTTTTTCTATATGTTTCGATCAAGGACAAAGTATAAATAGTGGAGTTTGCTTAATTAATATTCTAAGTTTTCGCTTTGGGACAAATTTTATATATAAAATGTAATATTATAACTACTAGTTATACGCTTATGAAATGAAGTACTAGAATAAGTCCTGAATTAAATACTGTACAAACAAGTAATGAAGTAAGAATTAAATCAATTATTGGATTGAAGTAATAAATTATGTTCCGGTAAGAAAGGAGGAACATAGAAAGATTAGAATTTCTAAAGTTTTTTTGTAAAAACAATGACTTATCAATTTTTTGAATGTGTAGATTACTGACGAAGCGCATTTTTCACTGAGTAGGATGAATTTTTTTAAATAAAGATATCTTATTATTTTAAACAAGATCAGCTTCTTTGGGCAGAAAAACAAAAACGTAAAGCTTTTAGAAGTGAATACAAAAATTGAATTATCTATTTTCTCAATTGACTGCATACGATTGTAAAGAACAAATTTTAAAATTAAAACACTTGAAGATTAAATTCCAAATGTCTATTATTTTTAATTGACAGTGTTATAACTGCCGGAGCAGAGTTAGCAGAATATATTAAATATTTGAGCAATTCTATGTGAACTGGGGGTCGATTACATAAATTGCTTTAATTTTAAGATGACTTTAACAGTATTTCAATTTTTTAACTAGTTACTTGTTTTTCAGTGACCGTTTGTGTCAAAACTCGGAAAAGAGCTTTTGTTTACAAATTCTTGGGCTGCCATATAACGTGAAAAAGTCCAATAAAAGTGTTAAGTAGTTTTATTTTATTTATTATCTACAGTACGAACTGTCAGTGAAAAACAAGTGTCTACACGGAAAGAAAAAGTCCGTCAATCATTAATAGACTAGTATATTACTTTGAGACGGGACACAAAATCATTGAATGCATAACATACTTTGAGTCACAATCAGTGACGAGTTGCTTGCTAAAATTTAGAAAACTGTCTATTAAATTTTCTATGACTATCAAAAGCATTCAAAAAATTCAACTTCTTACAGAATTATCCCTAATTTTAGACACTATTTGGTACAGAATGAACACATTTTTTTCGTTGCACAGTTCCGATATTTTATTTACACTCTTAGACGCTTTAGACCAACACATTTTCGCACTTATAATAACTACACGTAGAAACGCACACTTATAACATTTTAAGTTTAGAAGTGAACTGTTCTTATATACCAAATAACAAAATTTTTCACAACTTGTGAGAAATGATTTTGCACTAATAACTACTTTTTAATTAGCGAGAAATATAAAAGAAAATATATTTTTATCGAGGTCAATTTCTAGACGCAATTCAACTGCAAATTATTAGTTAAGTTAAATATTCACATTACACATAATAGTATAGAGGGATATGTATAGCAGACAGCAAAAACACATGGACTATAGAGAAACCGGAAGAAATGCGCATCGGTGCACTGCGCAACAATGCGCTAGTGAAGAGCGCCGATTTAGAATACGAGTCAACTAACGTTTCACAAAATTTCACTAATGATTCGTAAACATTCAAACAGCCATTGATAACAATTCAGCATTAAATCTAAAACAATTGGTCACATACTGGCATTCTAATCAATCCATGACTCGTTTTCAATCGTAAAGTAAAGTTAAGTAACCATCAACGGAAAAAGAGTCCCGTCTCAAAGTAATATGGGCAGTTCCATACGAAAAGCAAATGGTGGATCACCGATTTTTCTTAAAGTTTGTAACTTTGTAGTACTTGGGGTACTAAATAACTGTGCCAAACAGTTTTGCAAAAAAAAATTTTTTTTGCAAGATATTTAGATTTGAAAAATCGGAAACTGAAAAAAATGACTTTTTTTGAGAATTTTTATTTCGAAAACTATTGATTCTACAAGAAAAAGTCATTTATTCAAAATTGTAGAGAAAATGTCAATTTTTTATAATATTAAAAAAAAGTTAAGAAAAATTAATTTTTCAATAATTTGTTTAAACAATAATTTTTTATTGTTAAAAAAAGAGCAAAGGACATCATGGAATTTTCTAGAAAAATTATTTTCTCAAAATTTGAACCTTCCTTAATAAGTGGTTAAATTTTTAAAGAAGTGATTTTTGAAATTTTTGAGAAAAAAATTTTTGAAGTTTGCGCTACGAGTTTTTGTGCGTTGCGCTAACTAAGCAGCGCCTATGTCAGTGTATTTTTAAAGATGATTTGACCTTTACTGCTCGCCCCTAATACATTTATTAATTATACACGTATATATTATTATTATAAACAGTTTAACAATATATTTTTAACTTTTTTTAAAACATTATTTTCCTTTTCTAACCCATTAATGGTCATGGGCACAGTAACGCAGGTTTAAAAAGTAACTATTGGGATCCTGGCATATGGTCTAATAATAATTTTTAACGTTAAAAATTAAAAAAAAATCTTTTTGAACAATTTGTTATAGGGTAACGGGTACAGTGACCGACACCCATTCAGTGAACGACACCCCCAATTAAAAATCATGTACAAATTGCAATAAATATAAAACAAAACATTATTAATGTATATTTGAAAAATGTTAATATTATAAAATGCAATTTTTGGAAGCTATTAAAATATCAGCAATATTCATTTCGTTTATATTTTGGATAAAATTTCAAGTTCTATGGAGATAACCTCAAAATTCACTTTTTAAGGTTATCTTCACAGAAAGTAAAATGCTGTTAAAAATAAAAATAAATTAAATATTGCTACTACTTTAATAGCTTCCATTTATTGTATTTTATAATATTAATATTTTAAAATATTCATTAACAATGTTTTGTTTTATATTTATTGCGATTTCTAATTGGGGGTGTCGTTCACAGAATGGGTGTGTCGGTCACTGTACCCGTTACCCTAAACAAACGAAGAAAAATTGATTTTCATAAAAAACTGATAGCGCCATTCGATTCGACGCAAAAACTACTACGAGAACGTATATTACATAGGTAATTTTTAAAAAAGACATATTATTGTAAAAATGTTATAAACAATTAGCCTGCATTTATACTGTATGAGGTAGAAGAATCGTTTTATAGGTAAAAATTTTGTTTAAAAAATTTTTAACGTCAAAAACTCTCCTAATTAAACTAGTTTTGTTTAAAAAAATTTTTAACTTCAAAAACGATCCTTCTACCTCATACAGTATAAATGCAGGCTAATTGTTTATAACATTTTTACAACAGTATGTCTTTTTTTTAAATTATGTAATATACGATCTCGTAGTAGTTTTTTGCGTCGAATTGAATGGCGCTATCAGTTTTTTTATGAAAATCAATTTTTCTTCATTTGTTTATAACAAATTGTTTAAAATTTTTTTTTTAATTTTTAACGTCAAAAATTATTATTATGATCCTATGCCAGGATCCCAATAGTTACTTTTTATATTATGCGTTCCTGTGCCTATGACCATTAATGGGTTAAAAAAGGAAAATAATGTTTATAAAAAAGTTAAAAATATATTGTTAAACTGTTTATAATAATAATATATACGTATATAATTAATAAATGTATTAGGGGCGAGCAGTAAAGGTCAAATCATCTTTAAAAATACACTGACATAGGGGCTGCTTAGTTAGCGCAACGCACAAAAACTCGTAGCGCAAACTTCAAAAATTTTTTTCTCAAAAATATCAAAAATCACTTCTTTAAAAATTTAACCACTTATTAAGGAAGGTTCAAATTTTGAAAAAATAATTTTTCTAGAAAATTCCATGATGTCCTTTGCTCTTTTTTTAACAATGAAAAATTATTGTTTAAACAAATTATTAAAAAATTAATTTTTCTTAACTTTTTTTTAATATTATATAAAAAATTGACATTTTCTCTACAATTTTGAATAAATGACTTTTCTTGTAGAATCAATAGTTTTCGAAATAAAAATTCTCAAAAAAGTCATTTTTTTCAGTTTCCGATTTTTCAAATCTAAATATCTTGCAAAAAAAATTTTTTTTTCAAAACTGTTTGGCACAGTTATTTAGTACCCCAAGTACTAAAAAGTTACAAACTTTAAGAAAAATCGGTGATCCACCATTTGCTTTTCGTATGGAACTGCCCATATACTAATCCATTAATGGTTAACGGACTTTTTCTTTCCGTGTAGTGAAAAAATTGAAATATGGTGAAAGTCAAATCAATTTATATAATCGACCCCTGATCCATGATTTTTTTATGTTTTTCGCAATTTCCTTGAAACTTTCTTTCCTTGTACATAGCTATAAGGGTAAAAAATAAAAAAGTGAAGAAGATTTTGAAAATTTTAAAATGCATTCTTGAAAATAT